GGAGATTGGGAATTGTTCCCTGGCAGGGTGGGCAGGGGCTGGGCTGGAATTGCCAGAGCAGCTGTGGCTGCCCCTGGATCCCTGGCAGTGCCCAAGGCCAGGCTGGACACTGGGGCTGGAGCAGCTGGGACAGTGGGAGGGGTCCCTGCCAGGGCAGGGCTGACACTGGGTGGGATTTCAGGTCCCTTCCCACCCAACCCATCTGTGGTTCAGCTGTACCAAAATTCCATGATCACCAGCCTGAATCCCACTCCTGCCATAAATGACATTTACTCTGTGCAGTGGGGATTGTCTGTAGCACCAGAAACCACCAGGCTTCCAGGGCAAACCCTTTCTCCTCCCGGGCTCCAGGAGCCCTTCCTGCAGGGATCCATCCCGGGATGCAGAGCTCTTCCCACAGGGATCCAGCTCATCTCCAGGAGCCCTTTCTGCAGGGATCCATCCTGGGATCCAGGGCAGGGATCCATCCCAGCTCCAGGAACCCTTCCCACAGGGATCCATCCCTGCTCCTTGAGCCCTTTCTGCAGGGATCCATCCCAGGATCCAGGTGCCTTTCCTGCAGGGATCTACCCTGGGATCCAGGAGCCCTTCCTGCAGGGATCCATCTCAGGATCCAGAGCAGGGATCCATCCTGGGATCCAGGGCAGGGATCCATTCCGGGATCCAGTAGCCCTTTCCTCAGGGATCCATCCTGGGCAATGAGCCCTTCCCACAGGGATCCATCCCCGGATTCCAGGAGCCCTTTCCACAAGGATCCATCCCGGGATCCAGGGCAGGGATCCATTCCGGGACCTAGGAGCCCTTCCTGCAGGAATCCATCCGGGATCCAGGAGCTCTTCCTGCAGGGATCCATCTCAGGATCCAGGGCAGGGATCCATCCCGAGATCCAGGGCAGGGATCCATCTCAGGATCCAGGAGCCCTTTCCTCAGGGACCCATCCCAGGCAATGAGCCCTTCCTGCAGGGATCCATCTGGGATCCAGGAGCCCTTCCCGCAGGGATCCATCCCATCTCCAGGAGCCTTTCCCGCAGGGATCCATCCCAGGATCCAGGGCAGGGATCCATCCCGGCCAATGAGCCCTTCCCGCAGGGATCCATCAGCCCTTCCTGCTGGGATTTATCCCATCTCCAGGAGCCCTTCCTGCAGGGATCCATCAGCCCTTCCTGCTGGGATTCATCCCATCTCCACGAGCCCTTCCTGCAGGGATCCATCCCTGCTCCGGGAGCCCTTCCCGCAGGGATCCATCAGCCCTTCCTGCTGGGATTCATCCCATCTCCAGGAGCCCTTCCCGCAGGGATCCATCAGCCCTTCCTGCTGGGATTCATCCCATCTCCAGGAGCCCTTCCCGCAGAGATCCATCCCTGCTCTGGGAGCCCTTCCTGCTGGGATTTATCCCGCAGGGATCCATCCCGCTCCCGGAGCTCTGCTCTCCCTCCCCGGACAGGGTGAGGCTGTGGAGCTCCCGGGGAGCTCTGGAGCTCTGCAGAGCCGAGCTATTCCTGGAGCTGGAATCTGTCCGCGTCCCGCCTGGCTCCTCCAAGTGTTTGCCAAGGAGCGCAGGAGGTGAAACAGCAGCGCTGTGCCCGAGCCGCTTTCCGTGCCTTCCTTCCCGGTGCTGCCGGGCACGCACAGGGACAGCGGCCACCAGCAGGGACAGGCAGGGCACAGGGCGGTGTGCGGGCAGCACCTGCGCGGATTTGGGGCAGAAAAGCTCAGATTTGGGGCAGAAAAGCGCGGATTTGGGACAGAAAAGCTCGCATTTGGGGCAGAAACGCGCGGATTTGGGGCAGAAAAGCTCAGATTTGGGGCAGATAAACTCGGATTTGGGGCAGAAAAGCGCGGATTTGGGGCAGAAAAGCTCAGATTTGGGGCAGAAAAACTCAAATTTGGGGCAGAAAAACTCGGGTTTGGGGCAGAAAAGCGCGGATTTGAGGCAGAAGAGCTCGGATTTGGGGCAGAAAATCTCGGATTTGGGGCAGAAAAACTCAGATTTGGGACAGAAAAACGTGGATTTGGGGCAGAATAGCTCAGATTTGGGGCAGAAAAGCTCAGATTTGGGGCAGAAAAGAGCGGACTTGGGGCAGAAAAGCTGGGATTTGGGGCAGATAAACTCGGATTTGGGGCAGAAAAGCGCGGATTTGGGGCAGAAAAGCGCGGATTTGGGGCAGAAAAGCACGGATTTGGGGCAGAAAAGCTGGGATTTGGGGCAGAAAAGCGTGGATTTGGGGCAGAAAAGATGGGATTTGGGGCAGAAAAGATAGGATTTGGGGCAGAAAAGCGTGGATTTGGGGCAGATAAACTCGGATTCCGGCAGCCTGAGGAGCAGAGCAGTCCCTCTGGGGGAAAGGAGGGGCCGGGAGAAGGAAGGACTGGGAAGAGGGAAGCAGCAGAGCTGCATCACCGCAGCTGCTGCAGCGCTGCTTCCAGCTCCCCTGCGGGAGGAGGGGCAGGAAAACCAATTTGGATGGAGCTTGGAGCTCTGGGGATGCTCGTCCAGAGCCCCCTGTGCCTGTCACCTCCCAGGTGTGACAGACCAGTGATGCCATGCTGACTCTCGCAATTAAAAGGCAAATATAACGTATATATGCTAAGTTTTATAGATCTATAGTTATGTTTTACCCCCCTTGCGTTGTTCTCAGGGCTGCCCTGGGTTTGGGACATTTGGCAGGGGGGGCTCGTTACCATGGCAGCAGCTGACCCCCAGTCAGGATGGCAGAAGTGATCCCAGCCCTGGACAGCGAAGGAGGAGTCGGTGGACAGAACTTTGGGAGGGGCCGAAGGGTTAAAATGTGAAACCTCCACTGTGTGGTGAGCACACGGTGGGGAAACCCTCTGCTCCTGGTGCTGTGATGTTTTCTTTAATCAGTTTTCTGTTGTGTTTGTGATAAGGTTTAATAAACATTTTAAGTTTTTGGAAGTGGGAAGCGTTCCTTACAGGAGGCCACAGCCGGGCCCTGCTGCCACAGGGGTGTGCAAACATCTGCCAGCTCTGGCTGATCAGGGAATTCCCACTCCTGTTGCTCCTGCACAATCCCAGCCCCTGTTCCTGCTGCTTCCCTTCCTTCCGGCCCTTTTCTCCCTCCGAGTGGCACCAAGGGGACACCGGGTGACCCCACCCAAAGGGTCTCAGCCGGGGGAAATGAAATTGTGCATTTGGAGCTTTTAGGAGTGAAAGGGGCCCCATGGGCTGGGAAAATGCTTTTGTAGCATTTCCTTGGGCTTTCTCCCTTGTTAAACGAAAGCTGCATTTTGCTTTAATACAGCTCCAAATTTAACATTGGAAGGTTTTTTCCCTTAGTGCAGCATTGCTGGTGGGGTGGTTTAAATTCACCTGTGCCTTCAGTTTATATCCCAGTGATTCCAGGAATTCTCAGTGCTGACATTCAGCATTTGTTTGCACAGAGGAGCTTTTGCAATGACATTGTGTGGAGTTTTCTGTATTTCCTAGGAGCTCTGTGAGTGCCCAAATGCTTTCAGGAGAAGCCACAGATAAAGCTACAGCTTTGAAATGATCTAATCGCTGGCAGCAGAAGGGATGGTGGGGGGGAGATGTTGGGAAGAATTCCTGCCTGAAAGTGTTGGTTCCATTAAATCCTCACAGTCTGACCTGTCTGCAGTTATTTCCTGCTGTGTAATGAGAAATGTTAATTGAAAGAGGCAACAGGAGTAACCCTGGATGGGTGTGGATGAAGTTGTGCAGTGCCTCCTCCTGCTCCTCCTGCATTCCCAGTCCCAGCCGGCTGCTGAGGATGCTCCAGGCCAGCACAGGGATGCAGCTGCATCTCTGTCACCCCTGAAGTGTCCCCACACCTGGGGCCACTGTCCCTGGGGCTGGAGACGCCTTCATGGCCGGTGCCTGTGGCAGCCTCCTCATCCTGCCCTTTTTCCCTCATCCAGGGCTGCTCTGGCTCATCCTGGCGCTGTTCAAGCCCAGGCTGGACAGGGTTTGGAGCCCCGGGACAGCGGGAGGTGTCCCTCCATGGCAGGGGTGGGCTTTGAGGTCCCTTCCAACCCAAACCATTCTGGGATTCCAATTTCTGGGATTTTGGGAACTTCGTTAAGCCAGCACCAGCCTTTTGAACATTATTTTTCCTGAGTACCTTCCCATAACCTTTCCCATTTACTTTTCTATTAAAGTTTAGCCCCACTGAGGTTGGGAGTGGTTGAACCATCCTTGACAGTGCCAGAGCCCAGGGCTGAGCTCAGCTTTATTTCCCAGCCCTGAATTACTCAGGTTGGGGCTGAATTTGCACTCCCAGCTCTGAATTACTCAGGTTGTGGCTGAATTTGCACTCCCAGCTCTGAATTACTCGAATTGGGGCTGAATTTGCACTCCCAGCTCTGAATTACTCAGGTTGGGGCTGAATTTGCACTCCCAGCCCTGAATTACTCAGGTTGGGGCTGAATTTGCACTCCCAGCTCTGAATTACTCAGATTTGGGGCTGAATTTGCACTCCCAGCTCTGAATTACTCAGACTGGGGCTGAATTTGCACTCCCAGCTCTGAATTACTCAGGTTGGGGCTGAATTTGCACTCCCAGCCCTGAATTACTCTAATTGGGGCTGAATTTGCACTCCCAGCCCTGAATTACTCTAATTGGGGCTGAATTTGCTCCCAGGGTCTGATTTTAGGAGAAGCAGAAAGCCCTTCACCAGCCAGGCTCCCGTGCCTGCTCTTTGTGTCTCTGGAAATGGATCATTCCATGTGCAAAGAAAACTCTGCAGTTCTGCTCCTCTAAAATTATTTGCTCGCTAAAGAGAAGAGGAGAGCACAGGGAAAAATGCCTAAAAAGATAAAGCCAAAATGGTGACAGAAAGGTTGAGATAAGGAGGGAAAGGGCGAGGAGGGAAAATCCCTGAAGTGTGGATGGGAGCAAGGAATAAACTCCCTGATTTGGGAGCAAGGAATAAACTCCCTGATTTTTGGAGAGGCTGTGAGTGTCTCTGTGGTACAATTCTGCGCTGCCTCATCTCATCAATGTCTCTTCTTTCCCACCCCAGGCACCCTTTTCCTATGAACACCTGAGTCTCCTCCACCTCTCAGAGGATGCACCTGTAGCAGCTTTCCCACAGGTAAGAGCTCAGCCGTGCCTGCTCCAGGGGTTTTGGGGGTGTGGGGATCACAGACCCTGTGCCCTCAGATCTTTGGGGTGTGGGGATCACAGACCCCGTGCCCTCAGGTTTTTGGGGTGTGGGGATCACAGACCCCGTGCCCTCAGGTCTTTGGGGTGTGGGGATCACAGACCCTGTGCCCTCAGATCTTTGGGGTGTGGGGATCACAGACCCTGTGCCCTCAGATCTTTGGGGTCAAGCCCAGACCTGGTTTTGTGATGGGTTCTTTGCTTTTTTTGGGCTTCCTGCAGGTTTTGTGCCCCTCTGAGGTGACACAACCCCAGGGGGTTGCTGTTCCTAGAGATTTGGTTTTCCTCTTTGTTTCAGCTGACACAGGGCTCTGGTTTGGTTTGTAGGTGATCCCATCCAGGTGTTCACAGGGATTTTCTGGTCCCAGCAGCTGTGGTTTGCAGGGTGAAGGTGGAGCTGGCAGCTCCTGCTGCCGTGATTTTCCTCCTGGCTCTTCATCCAGCTGCTGAAAATGTCAAATATTGAGAAACAGAAGCTGCTGCTGGGTCTCTCCCCTCGCACATGACCAGCAGTTCCCAAACCCACCTCCCCTGCAGCTCTGCCTTTTCCCCTGGCAAAAAAATCTCATCAAATCTCTTCATTTGCTGGTGAAGTTTTGACTTCCTAGGGGATGCTGCCAGCCCAGCTTTGGGGGAAGTTTGTGGGAATAAAATGCTGTTCATGGAGCTCTTGGCAAGCCAGGTGCTGCTGGGCAGGGATGTGATCTGCCCCAGGACATTTTAGGGACTCAGTGCCAGGTCTGGCGCTGGTATTGGGTGGATTTTAAGGCCTGGGAATCACTTGGCTGATGTGAGCCAGGTGAGCATGGGCTTAGAGTGGAAAATGGGATTGTTTCACCCGCAGGGATGCCCGGCCCCTGGCTGCAGCCAGGCTGTGGGGTGTTTTCCCAGGTAAAATGTGGTGGCACAGGGTGGAAAGCTCTGGGGATGGGCCAGGCTGGGGGAGCTGCTGCCCCTGCAGAAGGCAGAGCTGTTTTGGGCAGGATTTGGGGTGGTCAGGGCAGTCTTGGGCAGCCTCTGGCTGAGCACTAATTGGAGGGGACAGGTTGTGCTCCCCGGGAGCGGCAGTGACAGCTCAGAGCCGCCTCCACTGATAAATAAAGCTGATTATTGCCGAAATAAAGCTGATTATCGCCGACCTTTCCCTTGCCGAGTGCTCCTCGCAGGGTCCCTTCAGCCGAGCCTGGCTCCTGCCCTCCATTCCCGGCGGCAGCGGGACAATAAACCCAATAAATTCATCTGCTGTGTCGTCTGCCCAGCCCGCACCCCCCCTCGCCGTCCTTTTTGGCAATCTGTCATCCCGAATTTTGGTGCGGGGCCAGGAGCTGCGTAAAAAACTCCTCGGGCAGCTGGAGCGCGACACAATAAATGGGGTTTAAATGGGGTTTAAATGGGGTTTAGCGTGTTTGTAAACAACTGCACTGAGCGGGGCGCGCCCGGACAGAGCCGGTGAGCGTCGAATTAATTCCCGAGCGGAGATGCCGCGCAGGGAAAAGGGGAAACATCCCCCGTGCTGTGGTCCCCGTCCGCTCCGGGATGTCACCGAGCACTGGGCTGGCTCCTCCCGGAGCGGTGGCACGGCTGGAGATGAGCAGGGACAGCTGAAGGGGCTGGGAGGGCGGGGATGCTCCGGGGATGCTCCGGGGATGCTCCGGGGATGCTCCGGTTCGGTGTCAGCTCGCCTTGGAAATCAGCTGGCAGGGAAGGAAGATCAGCGAAGGGAATGAAAGCTTCTGGCCTGTCAAAATAGCCCCGTTTCTAGAGAATTCACACAGCTTGTTCCTGGTGGGGAAAAGAAAAAAAAAAAAACCCAACCAAAAATAGTTTAGTGGTTTCTTTGCAGCAGGGAATAAAAAAAAAAAAAATCCTTTACTGAGGAGGATTTGAGGACAGAACAGGGAGGGAGCAAAAAGCTGTAGTTGAAGCACAGGGATAAGATGATCCCAGGTCATCAATTTTGGTGAAAAAACCTGAATTTCCAGGGATTTCCCACTCTGCTGCTGAGAGCTGTGAGGGTGTCGGAATCTGTGGTATTGGTGACTCCGAGACTGTAGAAAGTCTCTGTCTGTCAGCCCCGCTGCCAAAGCAGAAGCCATAATTGGTCTGTGCTGTTTCAAGGTTGTTTATTCTGTTTATCTCTAACATGTTCTGCTGCCCTGCCGCAGCTCTGTCCTGCAGGGCAGCGTGTGGGGCTCTGCCCTCAGTGGGATGGTACAAACATTAAATACCACAAACTACCTGTGCTGGATTTACAATAACGTGCCAATATCTGTCACCTACGTTGGACAGTGTGTCCCCAGCCTGAACCAACAGAAAAATGCCAACACCACAGTGAAACATGGAGGGCATGAAGAAGGAGAAAAAGGACAAGGCACACCCAATTTCCTCCATCTTGTCCCCTTTGGACCCCTATCTAGAATCCTAAAATTTTACTTTTGCACCCGTGCCACATTAATTATTACTTATATCAAACACTCAGAGATTGTAATTCATGCTGTAAGATTGAAAACTCTTTTCCATGGACAGAGATCACAGACAGTGTCTCTGGGGGCTCTGTCCAGGGGGGTTCCTGACCCCTGCCAGGGTCCCAGGGCAGCCAGGGCAGCCAGAGGGAAGCCCTGGGTTCCCACATGAGGGGAGCAGGGTTTAGCACCAGGAGATCACTGCTTACAGCCACAGGAGTTCTTCCAGCGGGGAAATGGGGGAGGGGAAATCAGGGGGCTCTGAAATGAAGCCCTTGGTGAGAGCCGAGCCAGCCCTGCGGGTCCCTGCTGCTCCTTGGGGCGCAGGAATTGGCACCGTGGCTCAGCGAGCCATCTAATTAATGAACTCACGACGTGCTGGGATTAAATGTTATTAAACCTTGGAAGCAGAGCAGGGGAGATGAAATGTAAGCAGCGCTTGGGAAGGGGAAGGAGGGGCTGTGCCACACCGGGTGCCTGCCAGCCCTGGTGCCAGGTGCTGAGAGGTGCTCGGGTTATCCACAGGTACCTGCGGGTGATGGATTAGAGAACCCCTGAACAGGATCACAGAATATCCAGAGTGGGAAGGGACCCACAGGTGTGAGAATTGATCCTCACTTCCAAAAATTTAAAAGGTTTATTAAACCTTATCAAAAATACAACAGAAAGTGAATAGAGAAAATATCACAGCCCCAGGAGCAGAGGGTTTCCCCACCATGTGCTCACCACACAGTGGAGGTTTCACCTTTTAACCCTTCAGCCCCTCCCAAAGTTCTGTCCATCGACTCCTCCTTCGCTGCCCAGGGCTGGGATCACTTCTGCCATCCTGACTGGGGGTCAGCTGCTGCCATGGTAACGAGCCCCCCCTGCCAAATGTCCCAAACCCAGGGCAGCCCTGATAACAACGCAAGGGGGGTAAAATATAACTATAGATCTATAAAACTTAACATAGATACAGGATATTTGCCATTTATTAATGAGAGTCAACCATGGCATTTTTCATCCATCACACAGGGATCAATCATCCCCTGCCCTGTCCCTGCCCAGACCCCACCAACCCCACCCTGGGCATCCCTGGGGCTCTGGCAGCCTCGGGGCCGTGCCCATTCCCTGGGCAGCCTGGGCAGTGCCAGCACCTCTGGGGGAAGAACCTTTCCCTGAGCTCCAGCCTGCCCTGCCCTGGCCCAGCTCCAGCCGTGCCCTGGTGCTGTCCCTGTCCCAGGGCAGGGATGGAGCTGCCCTCGGGAGGAGCTGCAGGTCCCTGAGCTCTGCCCTCAGCGTGCCCTGCTCCAGCTGCACACACCCCACACACCTTCTTTCACTCCAGCCAGGGAGGTTCTGCTTTCCTTACCAGGTTCCTCTGGGATTTTACCGACCCTTCCCTCTCCTGCCAGCCAGACCATGAATTCCCTGATCCCATTTGAAGTGAAAATGAAGTTTCTTTTTCTTTTCCCCCAAGTTTTTTATTGGCAAAATGTGATGCTCTATCCACCCCTATTTCTCCACGGTAAGGGACGCTGTATTTACTGCCTAAAAATCGATTTGGGCTCCGCTGGGATGGAAATTGAAGTCGCTGCTCAAATGTTGCACCTCGGTTCTTCTTCCTCTGCTCCCAGAGTTCTTCCTCTCTGCTTGGATGTGCTGGCACAGCTTAGCCCTGCTGGGTTTTCCAGGAATAACCAAGTTTTTTTGGATTTGTGGGGATGTGGGGTGTGTACAAACCCACGGCCCTCACAAGGGCTGCAGCACAGCCCTGGCTTTTTTTGGGAATGCTGTTTTGCCTGCTGGATCTCCAGCACCCCACACGAGCTGTCTTCCCTCCTGACAGCTCGGGGAATAAACTCCATGCTAACTTTAGCTCTCCCTCCAAGGTGGATAGCTGAGGTTTGGGCACCATCAATGCCTCATTCATACACCTACAAACACTGGAAAAAGCAAGGGGGGGACGAGGGGCAGCCAAGGTCCCACCCTGAACGTGTCTGCTCCGCCAGCAGCTGCAGCTCCGGCTCGCGGGGAGAACAAGCCGGGGCTGTTCCTCGGGCGGCCGGGGAAGGGCTGGGTGTTTATATTTAGGGCCACGGAGTGCAGGTGGCACATGGAAACCTGCCAGGATTCTTTGCCCTGTTTTTCCTGGACTGGCCCGAGCTCCCCAGGAGGGCTCTGAAAATTTCCTCCTGGATGACTCTCGGTTTTGGAGCCGTTGGCTGTTTTTTGGTGTTTGACCCTGGAGGGTTTCTCCTGTGCACTTTTTGGGCAGAGTTTTGCCCAGAACACACATTTTTTTAGAGCAGGTTGGTGGCTTCTGCCACTTGGAGTCCGTGTAGAGTTAGGATTTGGGATCATTGGGATATGGGATTATCAGGATTTGGGATCACTGGGATGTGGGTTCATTGGGACTTGGGATCATTGGAATGTGGGATCATTGGGATGTGGGATCATTAGGATGTGGGATTATCAGGATTCAGGATCA